CAGAGTGTAGGATTCACAAAACCATTTAAAAACTTAACATAGTCACATGTGTACAGGTAACAAAGATACCTGATGGAAAGAGAAAAGAGATGGATGAAGACTAAGAGGAAGGAAAGCAAGCAAGTGACGAATGCTATCAAGACAGTGAACCTTGGTCAAAGGTTGTCAAAGAGACCACATCTTCAAGTCATTGTAGCGTACTAAAGTGTAAAATAGGACGACTTTTTGGAACTACAGACAAGGAGTTTTGGTTGGAAGACACTAAAATATAATAGAAGTTAAATCTTGGTCTTTGATCAATGAGTTAAATCCGAATGTTATAACAAAGAAAAAGACAATGGGAGTTAAGGAAAGTGGACTCTTACATAGCTCTCTCCAAGTCTCTTCAAGCAGGGATGTAGCTAAAGAAAAGCTAAGCAGGCTTTTTTGTTGGTCAAGCCGGTTTTTTTACTCAACTGTACTTTAGAATAAATATCAGTCCATGTCTTTGTTTTCCAGAGAAATTTGAGCCGGTGGTCGGCTCTTTTTCAGCCAGTAAAATAAGCCGGCTGCTGGCTCTTAGCGACATTCCTGTTTTTGTAGCTCAGTGGTAGAGCATCTGGAACTTGATATAATTTTCTCAGGGCATCTGAGTCACCCCGCAAGTTGGGAAAGGGGTCCAGACCTCGGCAAACGAAATCAGGACCCAGTGTTACCAGGGGTTTGCATTAGCATACAAAATTCGTTCAGCACGTTAAACATAAACCTTGCATAGTCCTTTACTGCCACCTTACTAAAATTTGTAAAAGTGGAGAAACATTAAGGCAGGCATTACTTTTAAAATAGTTTCAAATCAGTGCAGTAGTAGGAAAATTTCTGGACCTGCCTCAGCGGCTGACCGGAAAACTTCATTTATTTCCCTAAATGCTGTTTATCTGTGGGCAGATGTTGTGGGCAGGGGGGTGTTTAAGGTCATTTCGCCTACGTCCTGCCTGCCTACGTGCTAAGTCGTTTCGCTCACGTGTTAGGACATTCCAAAAAATATCCTTGTAAGAAATGATGAGAGTAGCGCCTGAAAAACCATTGCTCCTCGTGTTTGTGGTAACCGGTTTGCTGTAGGGAAATTTGGTTCTTATTCAGAGAATGACTAATACCGTAAATCCTCTATTAAGCCCCCCGGGGGGCTTATTTTTTTCAAGCACTTTTAAGGGGGGGCTTAATAGAGGATTTATGGTAAATAAATAATGACTAACAAGATGATTGCAAAGCGACTTATAACAAGTTTGCATATCGAAAATAACTCGTTAGCGAAACCACCTAACACGTAGGCAAAACGACTCGTTGACGAAACGACCGGTCACCGACGAGTTTGGGGAGGAGGCTCCAGGGGTGCCTTGACACCCCCCCCCCCCCCCCCCCCCCTTTCCCCAAAAACCCCCTTTTTTTTTTTTTTTTTTTTTAAAACCCCCCCCCACCCCCCCCCCCCCCCCCCACCCAAATTTTTGGGCGTGGACAAAAGAGGCACAAACAAAGTTATTTTTGGGGATCACCCGGCCATTCTTCAAAAAAAAAAAAAAAAGGACAAAAAAAGTATTTCAAAAGCCATTAAAAACAATTTTGAAAACCAAAAATAACCCCTTAGCAAACCCCCCAACAACGTAGGCAAAACGACCCGTTGACGAAACGCCCGGCCCCCGACGGGTTGGGGGGGGGGGCCCCGGGGGTGCCTTGACCCCCCCCCCCCCCCCCCCCCCTTGTTACCCTAAAGACCCTTTTTCACTTTGTTTTTTCATGTAAACCCCAACCCAACCCTCCCCCTACCCCCTGAATCAATTTTAGGGCTTGGCAAATGAAGGCCAAACCAAGTGTTATTTTGGGGTCAACCGCGAGCATTTCAAATAAAAAAACAAATATTTAGAGGTCAATGACAAGCTTTTTGTGCTGTTTCTTCTGAAACGCCCATAGTGTTTACACATGATTGTGCCGTTTTTAAAACAAACGATGAAAGAACAGTTATTTGCAACGGCAATTTATAAAAAGATAATTTAATCATCATTCTTCGCAATTATTCGAATTATTCTGAACAAATTTTAACAATTCACTCATTTTGCAAGAGAAAATCCCTCATTTTCTAATAAAAATGTAAAACGTACAAAAGCATGCGAGATACAAAGTAATGAAACAGAAAGAATAGCGTGTCATAAAAACGGTTGAGTACTCTCTAACGGCCAGTCACGATGGCATCTTGACTATCACCTGACAACGTAAACTTACCCTTGCTTATGACGTATTTGTACTGTACATGGTTGGTTAATAGGTGAACGATTCAATACCTAATGTAAACTTCCTCCGAATGAAACTGGAAAAACGCTTTAACTTCGTTAAAAGCATTGAAAAACGTACAAAATAAAACTGTTTGGTAAAGCGATCTTTTGTTTGAGTCCTGGAGTAATGACGTAACAAAACGACATTTGTAAAATTATGAAATTGGTTGGAATTTCAGAGAAAACAATAAGATTAAGAAAAACGTCTACTCGTTCATATCTGAAGCGCACCCCAACATAGTGGAAAATTGCAGAGGTTTGTCTTCCAAAAGAAGCTTACGAACGCTTTTAAGCTGAATCTTAACCTTGTTCATATTTGAAGGCATAACAAAAAAGTGTTTGTACATAAAACACTTCTAACTAAAACGTTATATACACCTCGTTCTTGATAATCTAGGTAATGCTCTGTAAGTGTCAATAAATAACTGGTCCACTCTTAAAAAATAATGTCCTATATTTCAATTTCAACAATTTAGACATATTCTTCGTCTTTCCTTCTCCGAGGACTTGAAGAATCTTTCAATTGCGCGATGTCTTTGTAAACTCCTCTAAGGTTGTGATAACGAAGTCCCCAGTTTAACACATCGTCCCAGTTAAACAAATCTTTTGACCCGTTTGCGGGTTTACTATTCAAAGTGGGAGGTAAGATTTCCTCGTCGCTGAAGTGCAGGGTGCTGATCGAGCCCCTGTGAGATGTTCGTCCATCGTTTTCAACTGTTGCTTTCGCGTGTTTGTCGTTACCTATTATGTCTTCATCGGCAAGTTTTGAAAACACCATATTTCCACGTTCGTAATCCTCTCGGCTCGGTTCGTCATTGTCGTATTCGAATTCGCTGCACGTAAACGTATCGTCCGAGCTCTCACTTGAAGTGTCCGGAACTTCGAGAACACTCGACAACTTATCGATCGTCGGAGCATCTTCGTCACTAATGGAAGACACCGCATCAAGTAAACTACCCGATGGCGGTTGTTTACGGAGTCTCTCGATCTCTGCCGCGGACAAGCCCGGGGGCTCACGACGATTCAACGACTGGTCTCTGAAAGTATTCGGATCGTATTGATAAGAAACTTCACTATATCCGAGGCTCGCAACCTCAATGTCGTAGTGCTCCAGTCGTTCAGAGTTGTTATCATCAGACTTGTGACCGACATCAGAGAAATCCGGAGGTTCGTCGCTGCTCGAAGATCCCAGCGAGCCTTTCCGGAAACGCCGCGAGGGTTTTGAGTTTGTTGGACCGCGCAATCTAGGGTCCAAAACGCTTCTGGACAGCGGTTGCCTCTTATCCATACCATGCCTAAAGTGAGGATTGGGGATTTTTCTCTCCCGGTTCCTTGATCTGCTATTGGGTAATGGCCGGCCACCTTCCCTGTCTAGTGGTGTGCTCCGATGGTTGGGAGCCCGTGATATCCCCGATATATCCGCCCTGTTGATGGGTGTTTCCTTCATTCCCAAAACCATTCCATTCCTCATAATAAACTCTCCGTCGGACTCGGAGAAACCTGGGTCGATTTTCTCTTGAGAAGTTTTCGTAAGCTTGATTTGATAATCCTCCGGCGCACCGACATTATGTATGACTATATCCTTTCCGTTTGGAAGCGCAGACTGTCGTAAATCTGTCAAGGACTTCTGGCTGGGATTACGGATCACAACGCCACTATCGTCACTGCTGTGAGACGGGGACGTTCTTTGGGAAGCCTCTTGCACGTCCGCAGCTACCTCCGTACCCGCGGTCGCGTCAAACTCCGCCGGCGCCCTGCTGGCTGCTTTTTGTCGCTGTCTGCGATAACGACGAGCAACTATCACCGCCACGACGATCAAAATGACCAAAACGACTAGAAAAACGATGGCTGCGATTACTCCGGGACTCAGGGAGCTTCCCGTATCTCCCGTTCGTCCGCTCGCCACATAACAATCAAACTTCCCTGAATCACCAACGCGGCATAACTTATCGTCGTCGCATGGATGAGGCCAGCATACTCCAGGTATAGCACAAGTTTCTCCGTTGAAGTCTCCCTTGCATTCACAGTTAAAACCTCCATCCTTCTGCGGTAAACAAACTCCGTTGTTTTTACACGGGTTCGATTTGCACTGAACATCGCTGATACAGGTGTAACCCTCCCACTCTTCAAAGCAATAAGGTTTGAGCGGATCTTGGCACTGAACTGTCGCGCACGCTCCTGATCCGTCGCATCCCTCTTCGACCGCCCCACCTGGTGAAGAAATCACCGCAAACTTGTTCGGCCCAGAGAAGGAAACATGAAGGCCATCGATGCTCAAATCTTCCATACAACCGCGAAATTTTTTCAGGCTCAGGGCCGTTAAAGAGGAATTATATCCGCCCAAAAACCAGCTTTGGATGTTCTTTCCCAGGAAGTCATGTGCAGCAGCATCAAACATTTTGGTGCGGGACTCGCCGTCGAGCGTGACAGCCACCCTTTTACCTTGGTGCAAAAGAGTAACGTTGTGCCACTCGCCGTCCGTCACAACGGGAGACTCAACAGTAAAACTGGCCGCGTCGCCTCCATTTCCAAAGGTGTACTTGAGGTTACCTGACTTTATCTGATAAAGAAGGCAAAAAAAATGGTTAAAAGAATGATTGTCGTGAAAAACGAACTAAAAATCAAAACAAGTAGAGAAGCGAGAAAACCCCAACCAAACGAGGAGAAAAAACGTGTAACGCAAGTCAGCTACAGATCCAACCTACTTTAGGGTTGATTTCCAGTGTCGCGTAATTTTCACGTTTGACGTGCGTAAAATTTACGTTCGCGAATAAAATAGAGGCAATGCATGAAAGGTTGCTCGTAAGCATAAAAGTTAAACCTCGCTCAACTTCTCGTTTAAGCTCAGCACTCTTTATCTTGCCTCTACTTTATTTACGTAATTAAAATTTGCGTGCGTTAACATGCGTACCCAAAGACTTGTCAGTGGAAATCAACCTTTAAGCGCGGGAAAACATGAAAAAGTACACAGCAGGGAGAACGCAACGGATACGAAGCGCGGGAAAATATGGAATAGGCGCATACCAAAAATAAGGGCAGGGAAACTTGCAACTCGTGCGAAGAAGAAACGGGTGTAACCCAAGCAGGTCACGAAGGCGGTTGTGTCTTTGTTTCTACAGTAAATAATTTTTAAGACTGATTGCAAAAATGAAGCGTGTTTTCTCAACGTAACTTAAACAAACCTAACTTTTTGCCTCATTCACATATGCTATCACTATCTGACGACGCTAATAAAATAAAAACTCTGAATATTGAAATAACACAACAGTTTCAGTTATCCCTGAAAATTTGAGCCCAATACACCGAATGGTTTCGGAGAAATTCTCTTCTGAAAACTCAAAATTTTACAGAGAATGTATGGCTCATTAACTTTTTCGCCACATAGCAATTTCGCAGTTTTTGATGGCTGATATTTCTTTCAATATTGCTTGCAAAGAGCGGAAAATGGCACAAATTGCTCAACTTAATCAGCTCTTTCAAGTTTTGCATTTAGTTCATATGTGCGGTCACGGCTTCTATGAGTTAAGTCGTATGCTAATGAGGAAAAATGTAAACAGTGACGTTAGCAAAGATTCGCCTTATATAAGAACCTAGATTTTAAGAACCTGATAGACTAATATTGTCCATTTAGACCCCTTTTACATAAGAACCTGTTTTAGCCCACAATTTTTAGACAGGTTCTTATTTTGAGAAATTCTGTCTACCACTAAATACACAAATTTAATAGAACAAGCTCCACCAGTTAGTGAAATAAAGATGAAACAAAGTATCATGTTTTAATGTTGTTTTTGTTCTGTTTAACTAGCATAGCTTTTCATAAACTTGATAAATGGCTTTAATATGCTTGGATTAAAGGGATTTTTACAACATATTATGCATGCAATACCAAAAATAGGCCCAAAATAGGCCACACCCACCAATGACAAACACCTCATTTATTTTTAAAAATAAGAACCTCTTTAAGAACCTGAGTAGCCTAATTTTCCAGTTAGCACCATTTTTAAAAGAACCTTCTTAGCCTAGCTTGAAAAAAACTTAGGTTCTTATACGCGGTTTTTTACTGTATTGGCCAATTATTTCCATGTCCCTAGTAAAAGTCCCTAAAGTCTTTGTGAAAGTTGAGGCGGCTCATTTTCCTACTCGCCTGAATTGATATCGAAAAAATAAATAAATAAAGTTTTGAGACTAACCTCCACCACAGTGTACCCTGATACACTGGTAACAACTGAGTCTGTAGCGAGGAGAAGCAGCCCGTCGTTTCGAGTGCGAAAACGAATGGAGAACCGTTCACTACTTGGAGGCAGGGCTCGTCTTTTCCGAACTGCGTCGCCTTCTCTGTCTTCACGCTGCCGCTCGCGGCGATAGCTTTCCTTAAACTGTAATGCCAGAAAGCTGTTCTCGCCGAATTTCACTGGTTGTACTTCTACAGAGTGAGAGAGTAAGAAACCTTTAAGTAAATTTATTTGCCACCCACACAATACCTTTTTTCACTAATTTAAAACCAATTTTCATTTTTCATTTGCATAGGCTCCAGAAATCAAAAGTAGCTTACGAAAACAAGCGGTTAGCTAATACGAGATGTAATCAAGTGCGGAACACGCGACTCTACGCACGCAGGAGTAAGATTTGCGCGCTCCATTACTTATGAAGGCGCCCTGTGTGAAAGGTGTTTTGCTATGCTGGATCTGTAATTTGTCAAAGTTTTGCGAGTAGCAATAATGCATTTTAGACTTGATGAGTTTTCAGTTCTTTGTGAAAGTTAACTCGCCCTTAGAGCGATTTAAACTGAACAATACCACTTTCTTAATGGAAGGGGGAAAGGATATGTGTTGAAACCTAAAGCTTACCTTCTTCACAATTCCTGCCGCTATAACCTGTCTTGCACTCACACACATAATCAAACCAGTAATCCACACATTTCCCGCCATTTTTGCACAGACCATCAGAACACTGGCCACGTCGAGGACAGCGGTCAGAAATGCCAGCGGAATCTTTGGCTAAACTTGGATCCAGTTTCCTGTCATTGATGAACACATTGCGCATGCAGCCAAGAAAATCATCAGCTTGAATGTGTTGTCCCGGATGAGCAAGTGCACTGTCCAGATCTCTGACCCCACCTAAAAAAAGCGGTGCCCCGAGCAAGTCCAGTTTCCTGTATAAAATCAAAGGGTGCGTCAGCGTTTGGGTTTCTAGTCTCAAATGTGTTTAAACCTGGGACGCGAAAAGCAGGATTTTCTACTTTCGTACTACAGTAATCGACTGCTGGATTTCAAGTTCGATGACAAGTTGTGTTAGCGGGAAATTCTGCACGCTTTAAATCATGAAACTTTATACTGTCAAGCAGTGCAAGAAAACAACCATTCCCAGAATGCCAGCCGTTCAGGAAAATGGAAGAGGGGGAGGGTTACCTTTTTCATAAAGCTTCAACTGGAGGAGTAGAGAAGGGGAAGGGAGGGGGAGGGAAGGGGAAGGGAAGAGTAGACGGGTGACAGATAAGCAAAGGTGTTTTTTTTAGGTGACTACTTACTGTAACTGTCCTTGAGATGAGACGCTCACTGGAGCAGATGAATCAACGGAAACCTCACCAACCTGTCCAAAATTTTACAAACAATATTAGTCATTAGCCAAGGGATTCACTTCAACTTCAGCTTCATTTTTACACTGTTAACAGGGCATTACTTATTATTAACAATTATTCTAAAATACATTCACAAGCATGTATCATATAGAGACGTTAAAGAAAAGACCATCTTTGGAGGAGGGACAGCTTTCGAGTTGCCAACATTCACGTTAGCTGTAGAATTATAGTGCAACATTTCTAAATATGGTAAGCTAAACGAACATTAAGTTGAAGTTACTGAAACATATATATTTTGGCCCTTAACATACTTTCACGGCCATATTGGGTTAGTGTCAGCGGTTTTCTTCAATGGGATACTTGCCAAAAGGGCATTTCTCCCCGAGAGAAGATTTCATCTGGCTTTCGCGTAAGGACGATCTAGGTAGAAGCGTAAGCTCTTAGCATCTGCTGCCCAAACAGAAGTGGCGCGGAAGTGATTTCAAAGAAGCGTTGCAGCACACAGAGATATTCAACTACTAATGTTGTTTGAACTACAACCAACTTTTCTATACAATTGAAACCTCGTTACACTTAAAAAAATAATAAAGAATCTGAACTCACCTTCCTATTTCTAATGGCCATAACCGTGTGCCATTTTCCATCAGCTACAAAGTTTTCCGCCTCCACAACAACAGGACTCCTTGTATATCCAAGATTGAACGACAGTCGAAGCTTTCCACCGACGATCTGTATGGCAATAAAATCCGAATCCACCTTGTTCTGTCCGTCATGGTTGTACAGCAACAAGCTGTCGCTCTGAGACGAAGCAAACTCGAAAGTGATGTTGTTGAAGTTACCTCGCTGCAGACTTTCCAAAGTAGGAAGCTGAAGGTAGGAAGCAGATTCAAAGCCAATACAGGAACACTGACACAGCTGTCCTTGGGAGCAGGTACACCTGGGTGTGGCCCAGGAGGTGACAGAGGCCACCCGGCAAAAATCGTATCCAGACGAGCAATTCTTACCCAAATATCCCGGCTTGCAGTCACACTGGTAACTCCCTATAAGATTCTTACAGGTTCCGCCATTCTTGCAGGGATTCGGCTCACACTCGTTGACATCATCAGAACAGGTATGACCGGTAAAACCTGATGGACACTGGCATGAAAACGAGGAGTCTTTGTCCAAACACGTGGCACCGTTCTTGCATGGATTAAGGTTGCAGCCTTGCTCGCTTACTGCACATGTCTTGCCGCCAAAACCTGGTTTGCAAACGCAGCTAAAACGCCATTCGTAATCCACTGACAGAAAGATAACAGGTGTGGTCTCCAGGGTAGTAACAGTGCCAAGGTTGTACATATAGCTTGTGCACTCGCCTCCATTTTGACAAGGACTGCTGGCGGTACAAGGAGTGTAATCCACATTTTGAATATTAACATTACCATTTCTTTCCAAATCAGCTCTGTTGTTTCTCAGCGCGGTAGACAGTTCCTCTCGCCTCATATATTCAAACGCCTGAGGTTTTTTGGCCGCTACTGTTAAGTCTACAAGGCCAACTCCTGCGGATTTGATGCTAAAGAGCTGCGAATTGTATCCAAGCGGCGAGACAATGACGTTTATGGAGTTCAAGAATTTCTGATATGACTGTGAAAGGAATCGCTCGGGGCTCGTGTTCTGTACTCGCACTGTTAAGCTATTAGCGAAAGTTTGTAGGTTAAAGGCCACAAATCGGACCTGTACATCGTAAGACACGGCCCACTTTCCATCAGAACCGTTCACCTTTAAATCCATAACCACGCTTCCCGTTTGTTTGTTTTTTGTCCTCAGTACACAACTTCCAGGAGCAAACCCGAACAGTCCATTGCTATCCTGCAGTATCTCGCACACAAACACGTCATTAACATCGGGATCTTCAGGCTGCACTTTTGCCAAGTCCCCGGATGGCAAGCTGTTGTTGATGTTCACGTGCACGATTCGTGAAGTCTGTCGGGGTGGATTATCATTGACATCCTGTACTTGAATTTCGCAGTATGACACGGCAGATTGTTGTGGGGAGCCACCGTCGGATATTCTTATCGACAGATTGTAAGAGGCGGTGACCTCGCGATCAAGTTCAACGGTAGTCGTTATCACCCCAGTTCTCCCGTCCAAATGGAACTCATTGTTGGGGGTCCCATCGATGACAAAAGTAAACGGCCCTTGATTGGGATCCACGTCAGGGTCATAAGGCGTCAGTGTAATAACCTGAGTACCCGCGGGCTCCTTTTCACGTACCCTACCTATGCAGTTACCAGGAAGGCGTGGCGCGTTATCGTTGATATCGTCAATTCTAACAATGACAGTGGCGTTGCCAGACATAGGTGGCCGTCCTTGGTCCGTAGCGGTAACTGTTAGACTGTACTGTGAAACCGACTCCCTGTCCAGACTCTTAAGAGTTGTTATTGCACCCGAGTCTGGATCAATTATGAATGCATTTTCAATGTTACCGGTCAAAATTCCATACCTTATCCTCGCTTCTGCAGGGGATTTTGCAAAGTCATCATCAACGGCGCTAACATTGGTCACAAACGACCCCGAAATAGTACCTTCCGTGACTCTCGCGTTGTACACACTCTGAAGGAAACGAGGGGCATCATTAGCATCCGTGACTGTCACGATTATCTTTGCTAGGTCGCTAGTATCAGGAGTCACTCTTGTCTGTAACGCGTTCTTAGCGAGAACCTGGAGCGTTACCATACCCGCTCGTTCGTTGTCCAATTTTCCAGAAACGCTTAGCACACCTGACAGTCGATTTAACTTGAATCCCTGGAAGTTACTTTCGCCCACTAGCACAAAAATAACTTCACCATCCGGACCCTTGTCTTGATCTGTTGCGTATATCTGAGTAACAGACTGTCCAATCGGTGCGTTTTCGGCCACAGAGGCTTGAAACAGCGACTTGTTAAACCTGGGCGGATATTCATTTACACTGGTAACGTGAACCAACACTTTGGCGCTAGGCTGGGATTCTAACTGAGGATTCCCTTGGTCTCTGGCGGTGACAGTCAATGCATACATATCCTCAACTTCATAGTCAAACGTTGCTCTACTTATGATTTTTCCACTTGACCGATTTATTTCAAATAAGCCCGCCGAGCCGCCACTTGTGATGCTGTACTCCACGGTCCCTCCAAGACCTTGATCGGGGTCTAAAGCTGTTACAGAAACAACAGGGGCTCCCGGGGAGGTATTCTCCGGTACATATCCGTGGTATTCTTTCTGTGTAAAAGTCGGTCGGTTATCGTTCGCATCAAGGAGGGTGATACGCACTTCCACGGAATCTGACCGCGGAATTTTTCCAGCATCTGTGCCGACAACGTTCAATATTAACAGCCGAGTAAGCTCGTAATCCAGAGGCTTTTGAACATATATAGAGCCATTCCTTTCTCCAATTCCAAAATAGCCGGGTGGATTAGCACTCTCTATACGATAAGATACTTGGCCATTTGTCCCGGAATCCTGATCTGTGGCGGTAACACTTAAAACTTCACTCCCCACGGGCAAGGTTTCCAGCTTACTAGCTTGATACTGAGGAAGAAATTCAGGTGAATGGTTGTTCCGTTCAACAACTTCAACGTAAACATCGGCCTCGCTTTCCTTGGAGGGATCTCCCGAATCTTCTGCCTTAATCCGCAAGAAAAACACACCTGGAGTAGCAATATTTCCTGCTACTGTCACATTTCCACTGTCTGAATCAAGGCTGAACAGTGCGGAGCCATTGCCACTGATTATTTCATAGCGCACACGCGCGTTTACACCTTCATCCTCCTGATCTGTTGCCTCTACACGCCCAACTGTCTCTCCACTTCTTGTATTAACGATGACGAAAAAGCTGTACAAAGCTGGCGTGAACACTGGGCTGTGATCGTTGGCATCAGTCACTTCCACAACTACATGAACCGTCGCTTCAAAAAATGGCGAGTAAGGATTTCTTGCCTTCACTGTGATATTGTACAAATTCTCGTTTCCAAGAGGGCTTGGTTTCTTATATAGCAACTCTTTATTGAGGCGGAGAACACCCGTTTGGCGATTAACAGTGAAAACATCGCTAGCAAGAGAAGGCAGAATGGAGTAGAGGATAACCGCGTTCGTACCTATGTCATCATCATGGGCAGTTACATTTACCACTTCCGATCCAATCGGTAATTCCTCCTTGATTGTCTGTGACAGCAAGTCTGAGACGAATCTCGGTGGGTTGTCGTTAACATCCAAGACTATGACAGTGAAATTGGACGTAACTGTATGAAGGGAATCTCCCACTGCTACTTGCAAAACGTACTGGGATCTGTACTCTCTATTCAAGTTGTTCTGTACCGTCAAACTACCGTTATTCGCGTCAAGATTAAACACACCATCTGGATTGCCTCCAGGAGCGAAACTAAACCGCAGTTGCGCGTTACTCTGAGTGTCAGCATCGGTGGCACTCAGCACCGCCACTCTAAATCCAGTAGAGACGTTCTCATAAACGGAAGCTGTCATAGGATCTATGAAAACAGGCGCGTTGTCGTTGATATCCTGTACGCTTACAATAACGAAGGCTTCGTCTGCCAGGGATCTGTTTGCGACGTTCTCAGCGCGGACCTTAAACGTAAACAAAGAAGTGTTCTCTCGATCGAGTTTGACGCTGGTGTATATACGCCCTGTTTTTGGGGACACTTGGAACGCTGCACTTGCCAGACTGTTGCCTGGAGCTATTTTGTACTTCACCACTGCGTTAGGTCCTGAATCAGCGTCAGACGCATGTACCCAGAGAACTGTGGTATTTTCAGGGAGTTCCTCTTGAATTTGTACTCGATAAACGCTTTGATTGAACTGAGGAGGGTTGTCATTCTCATCAGTAACTAGAACACGGATTGTCAGGAAGCTAGACAGAGACTGTATACCTGCACCCCTCGCGCCTACTATAACAGCGTAGCTCTTTTGCTGCTCGAAGTCCAAAGGCTTCAGAATTCTCAACTCTCCATCCAGTTTGTCAATATTGAACACATCACCGGTGTTGCCCGCAGCGATGAAATAGGAAATATGCCCCGTAGCATTTACATTTAAGATTTCTGTCCCTACAGGTGCCAGCTCAGAGACCGTTATGTTTTGGTCCTGATGTTGAAAGACTGGAGAGGAACCTGTTAGCACATTTATTTGGACATTGGTGGTATCGGTGCGAAGCGGTGCGTTCACGTTAGCAGCCTTTACTATAAAGGAGTACGAAGAGCGGCTTGAGGGAACGTTCTGTGCCACGGTGATGATACCTGTCTGAGGGGAAATTTGAAAGACAGGTGGTAACGTGGGTGTTAAAGTGGGTGTTAAAGTGTACTCACATTCGGCGTTGGGGCCAATATCATTATCCGCGGCAGAGACCATGATAATGAAGGTCCCTGGTGCAGCCCCAGGGGACACCGTTCCAGTGTACAGATCAGATGAAAAAGCAGGATCAAAATCGTTGACATCTTCCACATTTACGAGCAAAGTAGCTTTCCCTGTCTGTGGAGGGATCCCTCCATCAGTGGCCAACACGCTCAACTCGAACGAAGACGTAGTTTCACGATCAAGAAAAGCAGTGGTTTTCACTTGTCCAGTGTTTGCATCAATTGCAAACGATCCAAAAGACACTGACAAACTGTAGGTGATTTTACTATTAGCCCCAGTATCAGCATCAGTGGCAGTTATTCGCAGAACTGGCGTGTCCACTCCCGAGTTTTCTTTCACTGAAGCCTTGAAGAAGTCTGGTTGAAAGACAGGGGGGTTGTCATTCCGATCCTTCACATCCACAAGGACCATGGCCTCACCCACAAGGGGCGGCGTCCCTCCATCCTTTGCCTGCACTTTCAGGGTGTGTTTTGCCTGCTTTTCTCTATCCAAAGCTATTGTCAGTCCTATCTGACCAGTCTGGGCGTTGATGGTGAAAAAACCCCCATCGTTGCCTCGGATAATTTCGTATGTTAATGCTCCATTCTGGCCTTCATCATTGTCCACGGCTTTCACTGTAACAACATTGGCTACCAAGTCATTTTCAAATACACTTGGAGTATAAGTACCCTTAGTGAATGTAGGGGTATTGTCATTGACGTCGCGTACAAAAATGCTCAAGCTCTTGTCAGTAAACCGCGGTGGTATGCCTAAATCTGACGCGCGGATGGCAAGGATGTAACTGGGTGTGTTTTCACGGTCCAAAGATTTTATTGTGCTGATAACTCCAGTTGATGGATCTATCTCGAAGCTACCATTCTCGTTACCAGCAGCAATGCTATAGCGAATCTCTGCATTACTGCCCTGGTCGCTGTCAGTGGCCACAAACCTTGCAACTTCACTTCCGATTGAAATGTTCTCGAAAACAGGAACTTGGCTCACTCCTGACTGGAAAACTGGGGCATGGTCATTATAATCATCAACTACGATTGTCAGCTTTTTCTCTGTACGCTTTGCTGGGACACCTTGGTCAGTAGCAATCACTCTTACAACATAACTGTCTCTCACCTCACGATCCAGACTCCCTGATACCCGGAGTACACCGTCAGCTGCACCTAAACTAAAAGGTGCAAACGCATCGAGTTTAACCAAACCAAAGGTTACCTTTCCGTTACTTCCTGCATCTTCATCAGCCACCATGATTGTGGTGATGACATCACCTCCTGCAGCATGCTCTGACACGTGGGTGACATTGCCGGAGATGAAATAAGGACTGTTGTCATTGATATCTGTGATTGTCACCTGGACTGCTGCTGTGCTAGACAACTGTGCTGCTACAGGTTTTGCATGATCTCTTGCTAGGATGCTAAGTTGGTAAGAACTCTTCCGCTCTCGGTCGAAGGTCTTCAGGTTGTATATAGTACCGTTTGAGTAGATACCAAAGGTGCGGTCATTGTTTCCAGCCAATATAGTGTATGAGACAACCCCATTGGTGCCAAAGTCTTTATCAGTGGCTGAGACAGTTATGATGCTACTGTCTTTTGCAGCTGCTTCTGAGATGCTTACATGGTACATGCTCTTTGAAAACTCTGGAGCATTATCATTTCTGTCCAACACATTAACATAAACCTCCGCATAGGCAGACTTACGAGGATTACCATGGTCAGTCGCAGACACACTAAGAATGTAAATTTCGACTGTCTCTCTGTCAAGTGTTCCTGCCACTTTCAAATGCCCACTGAACGGGTCCATCGAGAAGACGTCTCTGTGATTACCAACAATGCTATAGCTAATTCTGGCATTCTCTCCAATATCGCTGTCTGTTGCCCTCACTGTCCCCACAATAGCCCCAACAGCTGTCTCTTCAAAGATATTAAAATCATAGAATAGGCGATCAAACTGTGGTGCATTATCATTAGCATCTTTCACTGTTACCATGACAACACAGCTTGAATATAGGGCTGGATTGCCACCATCAGTTGCAAAAACAGTTAAGTTGTACTCTTCTTGGACAGTGCGATTCAGCACTTGCTGTGTAGTGATTTCACCAGTCGCAATGTTGATTTGGAAAGAACCAGCACCAATGATAGAATAGCGCACTTGTGCATTGAGACCTTGATCCTTGTCGACAGCAGACACAGTTGCAACACTTGCACCAGGTGGTAACTGTTCCATCACAGTTGCTATGTAAGTAGACTGAATAAAAATTGGACTGTTGTCATTCTTATCTTCAACAGTGATTTCCACAGTTGTGCTGCTTGTTCGTGCACTGGGACCACTGATATCAACTGCATACAATGTTAATGTAAACACACTTGTCGAGACATTATCACGGTCAAGTTCGACAGCAGTTGTAATGTCACCACTATTTTCATTCACGGCAAATGAACCATTACTAGAATCTGCGGTCATGTAATACTTGATAACTGCACCAGGTATGCTTGGAGAAAATGCTGCCTGAACTTGAGTCACAGATGTCCCAGTTCTGCTATTCTCCTCAACAGAGCCCCTGTATGAAGCTTGAGTGAAGGTTGGTCCACTGTTTGGTTGCCCTTTTTTGAAGAGTGTCACAGAAGTCTCAGAGACTTGTGACGGCACACCATCGTCATGAGCCGATACTCTTAGCTGATAATTCAGACGATTACTGGGTAACTGTGATCGCGTGACTAACTGTCCTGTGTTGGCATCCAACTGGAAAAAGCTTGTATCTCCACTGACAATATTGTAGGTTACCTTTGCATTATTTCCAGTATCAGTGTCTGTTGCCAAAATAGTCGTGACAACAGTATTTGGACCTTCATTGCCATTAATTCCCACAGCAGGTGCAGTCGCAAATATAGGTTTGTTGTCATTCACATCTTGTAGCAAAACAGTGACCTCTTTAGTAGCAGAGAGCTGAGCTGATCCAGGACTCGCACTATCCACTGCTCGAATAACAATTTTGTATTGGGGGGTGGTTTCACGATCTAAAATCCGTCTTGTGGTAATGGCACATGTAACAGGGTTCACCTCGAAAGCCATTTCCTCGGGTGGAGTCTGACTAAGGATGCCATATGTTACACGGCCATTTTCCCCACTGTCAACGTCAGTTGCAGAACAATGAGCAATCAAAGAGCCTGATGTCACATTTTCCAGCATTCTGATGACAGAAGGTTGATCTTTAAACACTGGAGGACTGTCATTTTCATCAATCACATTGATGCTAAGCAAAGACACTGTAGACTTTGGGGGATTCCCACGGTCATCTGCTGTGATATTTAATGTATACTTCTGTGTTCTTTCATAATTAAGTGGCTTACTAAGGAAGACTTCTCCTGTTAAGTGATTGATGTCAAATACGGCTTCCAAATTTCCAGATGTGATGGTGTACGCAATCTCAGAGTTCTCACCAGCATCCTTATCTGTTGCTTGAATCATTGCAACTAGGGAAGATACTGCCAAATTTTCAGACACGTTAACAGTTAAGTGCTTCTCAGTGAACTCAGGTTTATTGTCGTTGGCGTCACCCACAATAATTTCTAAATGCACTTGGGAGAACATGGTTCTATTGTTAGTATCCATGGCTTGGACAGTAAGTGTATAATGATCCACTTTTTCCCTATCAAGTGAATGGTTGAGAAAAAGATTTCCATGCACAGGATCAATCGAAAATACTTCGGAATTTGGCCCACTCATTATTGAGAAAGTAAAGTTAGCATTGACTCCTTCATCAGGGTCACTGGCCAGGACTTTATAAACAATTGAACCTACTGGAGTTGATTCTTCAACTGTGACAAACAAAACAGAATGACGGAACTCAGGTATATTGTCATTTTGGTCTTCTACAGTAACAACCACTACTGCAGTGTCTTGTTTGGAAGGTGAGTCACCGTATGTTGCCTTTGCAAGAAACACCAAGACATTCTTTCCACTTTGTTCAACTAATTGCTCTCGATCAAATGTTCTCACTGTTGTGATAATACCTGTCACAGGATTGATAACAAAATTGCCATGATGGTCATGCAGAGAATAAATCATCTTCTTAGACTTTAAAGAAGCATCATTTCGAAGAGGTAGTCTGCCAATCATAGTTCCTGGGAGCTGGTTTTCCACAACAGAAAATGCAGCAGTATCATTAATTAAAATAGGCTGATACTCAATTGAATCTCTTATGTTAACCGTCACAGATACAGAACTCAAAAGAGGAGGGCTTCCTTTGTCAGTAACTGTAACTGAGAGGGTATACAATGACCCTGCCTGATTAAGTTGATTCTTAACGAATAGTATTCCATCAGGGGAAACTGCAAACAGATCCAGTTCATTGCCTATCGGAGAAATTGCATAAGTCAGCTTGCCATTGTCACCTTCATCTGGATCAGCGGCCATCACAGGCAGGAAAATCTTCCCTACAGGCAAATTCCTTGGCACACTTGCATTAAAAGATGGTAGTAAAAATCTTGGCTGGTGATTGGTCACTATTACCACAGTTAACATAAAGGTACTGCGTAACGGAGGTGCTCCTTGGTCTGATGCAGACACTCGAATGAGGTATTGAGGATCATCTAGACTGTTAACCTTCCTTGACAAGGACACCATACCTGATGTTGTGTTCACCTTTAAGAGGCCATTGCCGTCAAATGTCAGTTTATAACGAACAGCTCCGTTTAAACCTGCATCTTTATCTGTGGCACTTGCTAGGTATATTTCTTTTCCAACAGGCCAGGATGCATCAATAGTAACTTGAGCACTTGAAGGGGAAAACAATGGCGGATTGTCATTTCTGTCCAGAACATCAATCTTTACGGAAGTTGTTGCTGACAAAGGATGCACAATTCCAGCCTTGGCTACAACATGCAATAAGTATTTATCCCTCTTTTCTCTGTCTACATGTCCATCAAGCATGATTATTCCACCAGCAGAATCAACCTCAAAGACATGTTGAGGATCCCCTGACACGATGGAGTAAAGAATGTTATCACTGTTGTCTTTTGCGGCAGCAATGACCTTGCCAACATAGGTCCCTGATGGTTCATTTTCATAAACAGTGAAGTTATAAAGACTGTGCTCAAACTCTGGTAAGTCATCTGACTGACCCTGAACTGTCACCTCCACAGTGGCAGCGCGTTTAGCATAAAGACCTCCTAGATCATTAGCAGTGACATTAAGCTGGTAAAATCCTTTCTCACTACTGTTAAGAGGCATCAGTGTACTTATTTCGCCACTTGAGCAGTTGATGGCAAATTTGCTATCAGCCCCACTTGTAATTCGATAGAAAATTTGTCCATTAGTACCATCATCACGATCAGTTGCTGTCACCTGGGTAATAACCCTGGGCTGAGCATTTGTTAAGATGCTCACAATATAAGTCACAGGATAAAATACTGGGTGATTATCATTAACATCTGTAACCTGCAATCGCACTAAGGTTCTTGATGATAGCGGTAAGAGACCCTGATCAGAGGCAATAATGGGGATATCATACACGCTCTTCACTTCGCGATCAAGTTTAATCTTTGTTGTTAACAATCCTGAACTTGTTCCGATGGTAAAAGTATCCAAAGCAATCTGAGAAGTAGAGTCAATCCTATAAGTCAAATTCCCATTACTTCCAACGTCGTCATCTGTGGCACTTAAGGTAACAACAGGTGTCCCTGGATTCATGTTTTCAGCCAGTGTGACGTTATAAATACTGTGAGAAAATTCAGGTGCATTGTCATTGATATCGTCTATGGATACCATAACAACAGTGGTGCTATTAAGTGGAGGCGAACCATGGTCTTTAGCAAGCACAGTCAATGATACTTGTGGTAAATGCTCTCTGTCAAGAGACATAGCAGTAGTAATAAGGCCTGATACAGAGTTTATCTGAAACCAGTGCAATGCATTGCCACTTAGAATTGAATATGAAATCTTGCCATTACTTCCCATGTCTAAGTCAGTAGCCGTCAAGCGATAGACAGAACTGCCATTCTGTGCCAGTTCGCTGACAGATGCTGAGTAGTCTGATTTACCAAAAGAAGGAATTTCATCATTTACGTCTATCACTCTAACAAGAACATGTACTGAGGAATTTAGACTAGGGGTCCCTCTATCTTTTACAGTGACAGTGATGTTGTAAAAGTCAGATCTTTCGTGATCCAAGGAAACTGCAGTTTTGAGGTTGTACAAAGAGATGCCATTCGGTGGCAAGATGCTTGTAAACTCAATTTTAAAACTCCCATTGTCGTTTGAAGTTTCCATGATAACTTGTCCATTCGGACCCTGTGGATCATCATCATCTTTCACAAAAATTGTGGCTACAAGTACATTGGTACCGCTGTTTTCAATTACTTCGGCTGGGTATTTTCGGTTTGCATATACCACCCGTATTATTTGTGGTGTGTTATCATTTAAATCTCTGACATGAATTTCCACCGTTGCTTGACTGCTTTGCCGTGATGGAACACCCAGTGGTTGGTCTCTAGCAGACACTTTGAAGGTGTAAAGCGTCTTCGACTCGTAATCGAGCGGTGCTCGAGTTCTGATAACCCCCGTCGTTGAATTTAATTCAAAGTTATTTGAATCACTATCAAGGTCGAAGGAGTAAATGACTTCACCGTTCAAAGAGTGATCTTTATCAGTGGCAGAAACGGCTAAAATTTCTACTCCAGCTGGACTGTTCTCGTCCACCGTAGCATTGTACGAGTTTGTCGTAAACACCGGATCGTTGTCGTTCAAATCTATAATTGTAATATTCACCAAACAATAGGAACGCAGTGAGGGTTTCCCGCGGTCAGAAGCAGAGATATTTATCTCGTAAGCAGCGACTTTTTCTCGATCAAGGTTGCCTTGTGTTATGATGCATAGAGCAGTCCCACCACATTCGGTTGTGTTCCTTCCAAGTTTGAATTTTCCAGCCTCGTTGCCGGCCACGATCGCATAATCGATCGTGCCATTTTCAGCCGCATCGAAGTCAGTTGCTGAGTCGATCGAATACACACTGTTAGAAGGGACATTTTCGAAAATATCCACAAGAAACACGGGTGATGAAAACTCGGGCGTGTTATCATTGATGTCTTCCACTCGAACGTGAACCGAGAAAGACGAAGAAGAAGAATTTTTTCGAACTTGCAGGACTATAGGATTTGTGTTCAAATTGTCACGATCGATTCGCAATTTAGTAGTGATAACCCCAGTCTGTGAATTGAGTGCAAACTGAGGTGAATTTCTTTCGAGTAAGTATGTTTCTCCTTGTGTAATGTTAAGCGTACCCACAATAGCTCCCGGCTGTAATTCTTCCTGGACTTGAAAATTGTATTGCCGAGCGGATATTGAAGGCAAAAGTGCTGCATAACAGCATACAAACGTCCAAAACAAAGTTCCAAGCTGTAATTTCGCCCTCGTTGTGCCTAGGAGGGTTTCTTTAACCATTGCTTTCCAGTTCCAGAAATTCCGACTTCATCCAAGATGTCATAATACTGAAGTTGTGACGCCAGTTTCACAAATGAGAGAGAACATAGCCAGTTTGTCGCTTGTCGGAGGGCACTACAAAATATATACGACAATCCAAACCGTTAATGCGTTACACGGGACAATAAATACAAACTTTGCCGGAGTTGTTCGTCTGACATTCTGTATAAACAACTCTCCTTCGCAATAACTTCGCTCCAGGACGTTGATCAAACAATAACACCCAAACAACGATATCTTTTACACAAACTGCCAACTAGAGCATGCGAAATTGTGTGTTTCTAAGGAAAATATTGAGGCACATTCGCTTTCCACTTTACGAGACAAAACTAATAAAAGCCATCAATCGTAAAGCCGCCGCGGAGTTCGAATCTGTCAATCATCAATGACGCGTAGAAGCTCTACAACAAGAGTAGGCGGGGTTTTTGTTAACACACGTGACTTGCGGACAAACATGCATAAATTCCTCGCCTTTAGAGAGTCAATAAACTGTTTCTTTAGAGGAAAGAGTGGAATTTATGCTATTTTAGCATATTCATTATGTTTTTGATTAATTACTCTTTTTTGTCGCCAGGTTTTCTGCCTGCAAGGCTCAATTACATGTCAAAAAAACAGCTTCTTTCCTGGGACTATGCACATTTTAACATAGCGTGTCGGAGGGGGCGTGAATAGACCATGTTGAGTGGATATCAATTTACGACTGACAAATTAAAGCAGTTGGACGCAAACAAGTTCATTGTCACAAAATTGAAAGATTGTATTTCCTGCATAAAAGACTGATGTGCCTTGACCTATAGGCGTTTCTCTTGGCAAGAGGGCCTGCGAAAATAAATTATAAACAAATGATAAAATCATCCACGCATGTTCAAAAGAAATTAAGCCAAAATGCACGCGATCCCAAGGGTACAGAGACCACCTAGAACGATACAGACACTGAAAGAAAGCATCAGCGATGTACAGTGGGTTTATGAAGTGATGTAGGTGGTATATTCGCTCCATGTTACAACAGCAGGCTAATATAATCTGAATAGTTTTCGTGGTGCGTTTCCCATTATTTCCAAAGGTTATAAAACCAAGTTTGAAAGAACAACACAATTTCTCCTAATTAGAGGTCGAAGTAAAAACGGATTACGGTTATTTTTCTTCGGAAGCACTGTCGTTTAAACGTGTCGTTAAGAATCCTCCGAGGTATGTGATTAAGAAAGCGAAAGCTACTTTGCTTTAAAAGTGCTAGCTGACATGAGTCACGAATTGAGACTGAAAAGTAAACAGAAGTGAACGAAAAACTGATTTATTTTATTGCAACGATGCTCTTTAAACATGCATTGCTAAGACAATATATGAAATCAATAAACATATTGTCATAAGAAAAAAACATAAATCACATTTAAACGCCGAATTGGTAATAAAGAAAAATCAAACTAATGTCAAGGTGGTCCAATATTAGTTTCTCATTTTTCTTCCAATCCTCACCCGTCTTTCGCTCTCAACTCTCAAAAAGAAATATTATAAACAATTAAAGAAATTCTGCAAATATGAACACGAGAAATAAAGTTATTTACAGTCATAGATGTTTTGAGTTTAGTCGCGTGTCATTTTACTTTTAAACAGCTGTTGGAATTTAAAACAATTTGATATTGAAATGATCAACTCATGCGAACAAAGTAATCGACCGGAAGTTTTATACCAGCCTTGGCTTAAAGGAAGTAAAATAGGAACATCTTCTAAAAAGTAGACGGAACAGAGCTGTTAGCGTTACGAAAAAAATAAATGCATTTAAACTCAAGTCAAGGGGCAGAGGCTTTGGATGTAAATACGTAAATTCCATCTTAGACGAGAATTTTATTGAACACGTAGGTTCTAGAGGTTTGTAACGAAAGGTTAATTGGTTTTCCAATTTTTACTGTTTTTTGCATGTCAAGCAATATAAGGTGATATCGCAAATAGTGAACTTTGGAGTTTTTTTGTCTTATTTTAGGCATTTTGAAAAATTGACACTTAAGTAAGGAATTTTGATAATCATTTCCGCCTCACATACAAGCAAGCTGTCAGAGATTAATATCCATTGTTAAATATGTTTTTCGACAATTTCATGCAGCACTTTGCCCCCTGTAAATTGATAATTTCATTACGACCCAAATAATTCATCCGCTAATGTGAAAAGTGACTTCTTTATAACAATATTAAAGTTGAGGGATGCCACTGACCATTCAAATATTTTTATGGCATTCA